GCGGGAGTGCCGCCACGCTTCCCAAGCGGCGCACTTATCCAGTGCGCCACTGGGCCGGCCCTCAGGTAATTTTTTAAATGTAGATTAATACAAATTAGTTTTTCAGTTACCATAATATTGGTAAGTTCATTACCTTACACACCAAATTCTGTTTAAAAAATAAAACCAAGCCAATATTTTAGGAAAAATAGAGATTTAAATTCATTTTCAGTAGACTAATACAACTCTTCTCTGATAGCCAAAAGACCTATAATTTCAATTTCGGGGGACTTGAATTGCTTATTTAGTATCCTTTGAGGAAGAATTGAGAAAGCAAAAATCAACAGCCTCCCAAAAAGTTCTCCATAGGCTCTCTTTGGTTTTGCCGGTGGAAGGCTAATGTTGGTCTGTATGTATCATGTTTTTGGCTACTTGTGGCATGCTTATCTGCATTGTATGTTAATTGTCATAAGCCTTCAATATTGATCATATTTTTGATTTGAAGTAATAACTTTTTACTTTTATGAATATGCTATTTTTATAACTTATTTTGTTTTGCTATATGTGATTCTTAACACAAATATTGTAATTATGTGTCTCTCTTTTGGTTTGCTTGACTGGAATTCCCTTCTACTTGGATGACCACAGGTGAAACTAGTATCTTCTGTAGTCTGCCCTTTGGCTTTTTTATAGTGAGTAGCATGGTAATGTTAATCGGAGCAAGGTACATCTCAGGTTAGTTACTCTTTAAATTAGATGATTTTATTAGTTAGCTTTAATGTATTTGTGTATAACTCAGCAGAAAGTTTTCAATGTTTTTCATTCTTCCTATGTTTAGGAACCTGGGAAATCAATTAAAGGTCTAATTAGTTAGACCAATTAATTTCAGAGGGCAGTTAGAATTAAGGACTGTGACTCTGCTTTTTTATTTTTAGTTGGTAATGATTTCCTTGAGGGGCTACATTCTGCTGTCAGCTGCAGCAATAAGCAAAAGTGAAAGTACTGTTATTGTTTAAATGAGAAGACTTTCCAGATTGACTGATAAAAAGTTAATGTGTAATTTTGATATTAATTGAATTGGCTTTCAAATATATATAAATTGTTTTTTGTACTTCTGAAAATTTGTTAAGCAAGTCTTAACATTTTAATCCTGGCAAGAGTTTCGGCAAGAACTTGTTAGCAGAGTTCCTGTAAAACTCTAAAACTGGGGAAGATTATAGTCACTTTTATTTTAGTTAAAAGAATACAATTTTGTGAACTGAAGATTTTTAAATTATCGCTTAAATAAATTAGGGTTGAAATGAAACTCGAATTATTATTTTTGTACATTAACCTCTACTGAATATTCTTTTTTTTTTTTTTTAAAGATGACCGGTAAGGGGATCTTAACCCTTGACTTGGTGTTGTCAGCACCACGCTCACCCAGTGAGCAAACCGGCCATCCCTATATGGGATCCGAACCCGTGGCCTTGGTATTAATGAGCACCGCACTCTCCCGAGTGAGCCACAGGCCGGCCCCTCTACTGAATATTCTTATAAAAGTAAAATGGCTTCAGCATGTTTAGAAATACATCACATAATCTGTTGATTTGAATATCATAGCCATTTTTTGGATGCTGCTCCTGATGATAGCTCAATATTTCTTGAAATCACTGACTTAAATGGAAATAACTTGTTTATTGTTCCATATGTTTCCATGAAAGTGAAACATTTTTTAAAAAATCTTCATGATTAGGGGAAGAGTTAAATTATCTATCTTAATTTATAAGATGATGACCTGGGTTTAAAATCTAAAATTTAAACTTTATTGTTGTGGGAAGAACATCTGTTTGTAGAAATCTGACAAACATTTATTCAGCTTAGCATCATCAGTTTAGTACTGTATATAAATATGGAATGAAAATTACTTATATCAGCAGAAAATTAGATTATCTTTTAATTAATGAGAAAGTTTGGGTTATTTACATGAAAATTTAAAACTAGATATTAACTTTTTCTATATTCTATATATCCAGGCATATTCAGGATAAATTTGTTCAAATCATCTGCTTTCATAGTAATACCTTATTTTGGTATTTAGTGCTTTACATCTTACAAAGGGCTTCTATATACGTAAATCTATACAGAATTAGCAGGTGTATGTTCTCTTTTTGCTTCTTGGGAATGTTTGGTGGAAGACTCTTAAACATTCCCATGAGAACTGTAACTTTAATTTATAAAGAAACATATATGCCGTTTAAGAAAAAGTACTATTACTTTTCAGTATTCTGAGTATTTTGGGCTGCATAATGATGGTCTGGAAAAAGGAAAAAACAAAACAAAACCAAAAAAACCCCTGCAGCTGAAAGTTCACATTGGTTTTTTTGTTGTTTGTTTCCCCTTTGGTATCATGACAGCATAGCTAAAGGATATGTTAAATGTCCAAATTCATAGGCTTCTAAAATGCATATGGTCATTATCTTTAAGTTCTGTCTTTGGTGACATATGCTGACATTTGAGAACAGTGAAAGTTATCTGCCTTAGTAAAAAATGAGCAACAGTGGTAATACACAGGTACTTCAAAAAGTTCACGGAAAAATAGAATTAAGGAGTAACATGAATCTTTCCATAATTTTTTTTGGGGGGTGGCTGGCCAGTACTCCATGAACTTTTTGAAGTACCGTTGTATTTGCTGATTTTGGAACTGGTCATTATATTTGTTGCATTTTAACTGTGAGGCATTATTTACAAATCATATGGAATTTCTAGCTCAATAAATTACTGAATAGCTTCATTGCTTTAACTCTTGAATTGCATGTATGTGTTATTGACATGTATGGTTTTTGTGTCCCCCATTTTAGGTATCCTATAAGTAATACCAACTCATGGATTCCCAAGATGTGAACTTTTTACGTAAGGAGAAAATCCAGCAATTCTGTCTCTTAATGTGGTGACACTACTCATAGACACTGATTTTACTTATAAGCCACTTGCTGCATGACCCTCCAAATAGACCTGTGGCTTGAAATAAAGAAAATGCAGCAGAAAGAATGCTGTAAAAACATTTGGTGTGTTTTTTAACATCGGTAATTAAGGTTGGGTTGGCCACCTTTGGGGCTGACCCCTCCATTGACATAACAGTCTGCCCCATTCCCTCCAAGATCTAGGAGGAATTCAGATCCTGTCCATTGGAATCTTCCACCAAACATATTCAAATGCTAATGAGCCAGGAATTTGATTCTCTGCATTATAATACACTTGATTAAGGGGTTATTACTAACCTGCTAAAAATGAGTGTCTTTTTGTTTTTAACAGACCCCCCCAAAAGTCTTCCTTTCTACATATTAGAAGACCACAACATACATCATCACTGAATATTTAAGTAGAAATCTCAGCTAAATTATTAAAATGGAAATGGGGCTGCTGGGTAGCTCAGTTGGTTAGAGCATAGTGTTATTGATAAAACCAAGGTCAAGGGTTTGGATCCATCCCTGTACCAGCCAGCTGCCAAAAAAATAAAAATAAATAATTAGAATGGAAATGTAGTACTCTCATAGCTTTGATATTTTTCTGAAAAGTATTTGCCAAAACTGAAGTTCTTAAGACATTTTACATGGTCTTACTAGTTATAATGACTTCCTTTCTAGATCTTATAGGGAAGGACACTTTTTTCTCCCATCCCTCCATTTTGTATTTTTTAACTTTGTATGTATAACAGACATGCCTATATATTTTATTATACTGAGGTAGCCCATTTATAAATTAAGAGCACATTGTATTCAGTAGGTTATAACAAGGCTGGTCTTAAGTGGACTACAGCGTATATAAATATTTGGGGGGAAACAGCTGTATACGTTTTTGGGTAATGGTTATGCATATTATTTACCAGGAAAAATTTTTTCTTTTTCTTTCTTTTTTTTAAAAAAAAAAAAAAAAAAGATGACCGGTAAGGGGATCTTAACCCTTGACTTTGTGTTGTCAGCACCATGCTCACCCAATGAGCTAACCGGCCATCCCTATATGGGATCCGAACCTGGGGCCTTGGTGTTATCAGCACCGCACTCTCCTGAGTGAGCCACGGGCCGGCCCGAAAAAATTTTTTCTTAAAAAGCCAACATTTAAAATTTAAGTATATGTTCTATGTTAATAAAAGAAAACGTACCTTATTGTGACTTCAACCATATTTCTTATACCTTACCTTTTTATTTAATTGTCTTATCTGGATATATGCTTAAAAAAAAAAAAAGAAAATCTTGTGGAATACTATAGTAAATATTGTTTTTTTTTTTCCCTTTTGTCTTTTTTACTGACCGGCAACGGGATCGCAACCCTCTGTGTTGCGCCCGCACCGCGCTCAGCCAGTGAGCGGAACCGGTCTCCACATGGGATCCGAACCCTCGGCGGGAGCACCGCCACACTCCCAAGTGGTGCACTCTCCAGTGCGCCACCGGGCCAGCCCTAAATATTGTTTTTAAACACAATCACTAGTGTAAGTAAAGTTGTTTTTCCTTTGAATTAATTTTAGACATATTTGGGATCCTTTTGAGTGGATGAAAGAATGTCAAAAAAGTTAAAAACCTAAGTAGAAAAAATTTAGGAATAAAGCTAAGACTTTTCAATTCAAATATTATCAATTGTAAATAAGAAATTATAAATTCTATTTGGGATGACAGAATAGTCTCTGCTTAATGTCATATTACAACTGGAAAAAGGTTTACCACTTAGAGATGCCTTCCAATGAAAGCAAGAATTTCTCAAAATATTTAGTATTACAAAGAACTCTCACCTAATCTAGATTCTTATATCAATTTTTAAAATATCTTAAAATTTGTTTTGTAGTAAACAAGATACTGCCTCCTATGTATTTTCTTCAATTAGTGCTGAATGAGAAAGTGTTTATATATTAATATAAAAGGTTTTGCTTTGTTTGAAATTATGGTAGCTTGTATTTACTGTTTGATTGTTTTGTTTCCAAATTATCGAATCTGCAGGGTTTTATTGATGCAGCTGCCACTTATAAGTGACATACATATTATAGAAAGGTACTGTGACATTATCACTTTGTGGCAGGGGTATTTTAAACATAATTGTGTTTCCACAATGGTAGGTTGAGTTAATTGTAAATAATTGTGAAAAGCACTGTTCAAATAATTTAAAAATCACATTAATTTTTCTATAAATAGCAAGATTTATGAATGTTTGAAATTGTACACATTGATATTTAATGATAAATTTACTTAAAATAAATTGACCCTTTATTCTTACTTGCATTTCTCATTTTACACACTGGAAATGAGATCAAAGTTAAATTAAGAAAGATGTTTCAGGAAACGTGAAACTGAGCCGTTAGCACTTAATCAGGCACACGGAAGAATTAACCAACAGCTGAAGAAGTAGTTTCTGAAATGATGAACACCTTAATCATTCTAATAGAACAGACTACACTGTCCTATCTTAGCATTTCCAGAAAATACCTTGACAAGGTCAATAGCCATTATCAATAGAATTTTATATGACTAACCATGACCTTCTACTGATTTCATTCTGCACTTCAGTTTCTACTTACCTGGGTTAGTTGGAGTCTAGTACACCGTTCTCTCAACTTGACAGCCAACACCTCAACCTTTTTGTTCTCCAACTAATCAGTAAAATAAGTAATACATCTTTGCTTCTGTAATGATATCTTCAGATTTTTTAGTAGTTCTTTTGAGGTGCCCAAAGCCTAATTCTTTGAAATGTTTATGGGTTTTTTGTATCATGTGGGAATGAAAAATAGGTATTTTGGAGAAACCACCAAATATAAAAGTTGTCATAGCACAGAAACTAATGGTACTGATAGTAGAGTAGGTACTATTTACCCTGTGGTGTTTACCTAATAGTAAATAGATGTAGAAAAATTTTTTAAGAATAACTTGTATTAAGGGCCGGCCTGTGGCTCACTCGGTAGAGTGCGGTGCTGATGACACCAAGGCCACGGGTTCGGATCCCATGTGGGGATGGCTGGTTCGCTCGCTGGCTGAGCGTGGTGCTGACAACACCAAGTCGAGGGTTAAGATCCCCTTACCGGTCATCTTTTTTAAAAAATAAAAAAAAAAAAAAAGAATAACTTGTATTAACTAAGTTGTTTGTTTTAACTAATAATATTTAAATAATGAAGTTTACTTAATCCTTTGTTCTTGCAACCTAACAACTTGCATAATAAGTTCATATAATAAATAATTAGTAGAAAACTGAGTGACTATTTAAACCAATTTGATTGCTGCTTTTTCTGTACTTTATAGGCACATATCTTAGTTCTGCCCTCACAATTAAATATAAGGTGTGCCAAATACCAAAGACAAAAAACTCTCACAAGTATTTCCTGAGATTTTTGTGTCATCAGATTTAATGAAAATGACCCATTAAATTAAATTTGAGGGCCATAATGATAAATATTCTGAGAAGGAGAAGATAGGTTAAAAACAAGTTGCTCAACTAGGCCAATATCTTTTTTAAAAAAATTTATCAATATACAGTGTAGTTGATTTTCATGTCTCTTTACCAATTCCTCCTTTTCCTCCCTCTCTCTCACTTCTCCCTCCCCCATCAACATCATATCTGTTCACTTGTCTTAACAAGTTCAAGGAATTGTTGTGATTGTTGTGTCTTCTTCCCCGTCCCTTTATTTGTATATTTATTTGTTTATTTATTTATAGCTCCCATAAATAAGTGAGAACATGTGGTATTTCTCTTTCTGTTCCTGACTTGTTTAAATTTTTATGATCCTTTTTTTTTTTTTTTCTTGGTGGCTGGCTGGCAAGGGATTCCGAACCCATGACCTTGGTGCTACAAAGCTGCACTCTAACCAACTGAGCTAACTGGCCAGGCCCTTTGCCCATTTTTAAAATGGGTTACTTGTTTTTTTGCTGTTAAGCTGTTTGAGTTCCTTGTATATTCTGGATATTAATCCTTTGTCAGATGTGTATTTTGCAAATATTTTCTCCCACTCTGTTGGTTGTCTTCGCTCTGCTAATTGTTTATTTTGCTGTGCAGAAGACTTTTAGTTTGACATAATCCCATTTGTTTATTTTTCCTTTGGTTGCCTGTGCTCTTGGGGTCGTATTCATGAAGTCTATGCCAAGTCCTACTTCCTGAATTGTTTCCCTTATGTTTTCTTTTAGGAGTTTTATTGTTTCAGGACATATATTTAATTCTTTAATCCATCTTGAGTTGACTTAAGTATATGGCGAGAGGTATGGTTCTAGTAAATGGTGCTGGGAAATTGCACATCCATATGTAGAAAGCCAGTATCTTTAAATGCTGGTTGTCATCGTATTTCAGATAACTAGTTCCACCTGACCACATAACAGTTGCAAGAATGATGATATTTTGTTCTAAAAGCAGCCTCAGGCCCTTTTCAGTTTTCCAGTTTAGCATTAAAATTTAGTAGCTTGCTTTCTTATTTTTAAACCTGATTGTATTTATCTTATTGGTTGCTTATTATTGTATGACTAGTTTACAAGTAATTCCCATAAATATCAAATAGTTTAAAGCATCACCTAAACATCTATCAAAAGGAGAGTGGTTAAATTAACTATGGTACAGCCACACAATAGAAAATGTGTAGCTTTATAAAAGAATCATTTCTAGAGTCATATGGCAACATCTTCAGGATTAAGTGAAAAAGCAAGGCACAGAGCAGCACGAAGTATGCTACCTTTCTATTACAGGTAAAAGTAGAATTTTTGCCTATACTGGAAGGACACATAAGCTGCTAACAATAGTTACCTACTGGGACAAGAAGGGGTAATCAGGCATTTGAGAGGCAGATGGGAAAAAACTTTTCACTATATATATTGAACCGTCTTAACTGTTAGTATGTATAATATTGAACCATATTAATGTATTAACTATTTACAAAACTGATTTAAAATTTTTGAACTTAAATTCAGAGGTCATTGTACATGAATATTCATAGCAGCATTATTCATAATAGCCAAAAAGAGGGAAACAACCCAAATGTCTATCAGTTGATGAATGGATAAACAAAAGTATCTCTATATGATGGAATATTATTCAGCCGTA